TCTGTAAGAAAATAAACCTTAGTAGTAACAGTAGTCTTTTTTTTTTTTTTAGAAAACCTACATATCATCAAATTAGTTTTTCATGGCTCATTTGCTTATTGAAAATTTCTTTGCATAGCAAGTTTATTATTATCACAATTCATAACAGTTTCTAAGACACTGTCCTGAACTTTATACATACAAAATACAGACAGACACAGATGTGTGCACAAAAACACACGTACATGTGTGTGTGTGTGTAGCTTTCTATGTATGTGTACAGGTTTCTGTGTCTGGCTCTGTATATCATCTTCTGATACACGCTGGTACCTAGATACAGATTTTTGTGATATACATCACGTCTTCTGTAAATGCAGGTACTTATCAGTAGTTCAGTTCAGTTTTGTGTTTGCAAATTTAATTTACCAGAGCAACCTCAGATCTTTGAGTCCAGCCATCTTCATGAAGAACAAGCTCTATATCCATTGTGGTTTGTTTTTTGAAAATAAGTTGTGTTTTATTCGTCCATTTCATTTGATAAAATCAAAGGGCCTGATCCTGTCACAGTATACTTAAAACTTCAATTAATGTTTATAAGCCAAATCCTGCTCAGGTTACTCACACGGGTATCAGCTGGCCCGATTGATTTTACTTCCCAGTTATAAATAAGAAGCAAATTCCTTATGGTTAATTGAGTCTTTAATATCATCATAAAAAGCAGTGTGAGATCAGAATCAGCCCTGATGAGACTACATACACTCACAAAAAATTAGCCAGACTTTGCTCAGTGGAAATTCTGGGCATACAAAGTAAGAATTGCAATTTAAGAGAAGGTTATCCTGTATCAAATTTCTCTGTTACATCTCTGATCAAGAAATCCTGTAGCAGTTAAAAAACTCTTGCAGTTTCCACCAGATTTGCAGCATCGACAAAAGAGTAATGTGTCAGATTTGCTTTGTATACCAGGAGACCCTTGTCCTTTCTGTTGCTCTTTTCTAGATTTAGCAAAATTCAGTGGTGGTGCTAAATCAATTTTTTTTTAACTTTCAAGGGAAAAAACACTGGGAAAATTGTGTTTTCTGGGGAAGGCTGTGTGTGTAAATGAGAAACAGTGGATAGCAGCAGAGTGATCTCTTGTGGCCCTGCTAGTACAAGCTTTCCCCATATTGTCTCCTGCTTTTATATTAATTACAACTTGCATTATCAGCTGCGAGTCTGTAGCCCAGCAAATAGAAAATACTGCCCCTGGAGACCCAGCTTCTTGTATCTATTTTCCATCTCCTTCTATTGTGCTCTACTCAGTATTCACTGCTTTTCTCCTGGTAACACTGCTCTTTAACACAATTAAGTAAGAGCAAGAGGAGCACCAGATTTGACTCCCAATTATTAAAACTACTGGGAATAGATACATGTGTGCTGTGTACCTCGTATGGTATCTGACATCAGTTTAGGTCATATCTGTGTGAAAATTTTATAGTATGCACACATACACAAAGCAGGCAATTGCATTTTGGCAGACATCATCCACAGTCTTCAACGTGTTTCTGCAAAGTATTTTACTAAACTTGCAAGGAGATATGAGGAGCCACACTAACAGTTTGTGTGATTTATCTAAAGCTACCTGGTTTTCCTTTCTTTTCTTTTTTCTTTTTTTTCCCCCCATGTCAATAGCTTAATACAAATTTCATTTAAATTAATAGCAAAATCACAATTAATGTTAGCCGGCCTTAGATCAGGATCTCTTTAGGTACCTAAACTATACTGATAAAGTGTTTCCAGTGAAGTACACTTTAGATGTGTCATTTGGTACCATTATTTTTTATGAAGACATACGTAAAATAGCTACTTATGATTAGGCATTTGTCCAAGAAGTTTTTCCTGAGGGGTGAAAAGTTGGAAACAGTCTAGGGGAGAAAAAGAGACGTTCACTGACATGTACAATGATCTTAGTCCAAAGCAAAAGAATGCTGCCCTTTTATGAGGCTGTAAACTCCACCCCTAGAGTTATTTGTCATTTTAAAATAATATTAAAGCCTAGCTTTTTCCCTCCCTTCCAAATTCCTCCAACATTCTACTGTCGCGCTTTGTAAATAACCCATCTTGTTATTTCTGTCCTTCAGCAAAATTCTGCCCAGTTGCTTCCTCAAGAAAACTGTGTCACAAGAAATACATTGAACTCTCAATCAATACAGTCTGTCTTTCTAAAACAGGATCTACAAACTGAGGTCAAGAACAACTCAGCCTGGTAGAGACAGCGAGTGTTCTCAGCTGCAGGAATTCTTATTCAGTGATCCTTTCCAAATCGTTACGCTTTTGAAACAGAAAGGCCGGTCTGGCTTTTGAGATACTGTATGATAGGTTCTGGATGACATTTGCCTTAAAACATAGCTGAGGTGTTACCAGTTAATTATTGTAATTTTCATATGTGTGATAAGGAGCTCCAACAGCAGCCAGCTTAAGAGAGCCTGCAGTGCATAAAATTAACATAACTCACCGTGTTCCCTGAAAAGTTTAGCCTAGGTGAACATGTTGCAATTATTACATTTTCCAAAAGAAGGTTCCAGCCTGATGTTGTTGGAGGGCTAAACTCATGCTATGCTATTGTTTCTTTCTTTTCTCATGTATTTCTTCTAGCTCTTTATCTGATTACCATCCGGCAAACAGCTGACGCTAAGAGGCTGCAGAGGGCTGAAGAGCTCCTGTCTGCTGTTTGCCTTCAGCTTGAAGCTATTTGAGTGGCTTCCTAACTCCGAGATAAAAAGAGGAGCTCATAGGCACAACAGTGTTTTAATTCAGGCTGTAAAGAAATTTGCTCAGTTTTTGCATTTTATTTCCATCTGAACTTTTTGCTAACCTTATTTTCAACTTTTTTTTTAATAACATCTGGGCTGCTTGAAATTTCAAGATTTCTCATCTTTCTTTTTGTGCTTCTTTCCACTTGACTTTATAAAACGATGGTAAAATGTATTTTGGTTTGTTTTTTGTTTCAATTTTAAAAAATGAAATTTACGGTATTAATAGTGATTTCTGAGACCTAATAATATACAACAACCTCATATAAACTACTATTCTTTGGTGTGTTGTGATATGTTTTTTCCTGTGTGAGGAAAAGTACATCAGCCTTCTAGGTTTCAGAGAGAGGATGGTGGTTTTGTGTCATAAGTGCTGTTGTGCTGTCTGTTGCATGGACAGGTAAGGCAAATTTCAGATCCTGGACTGTCTCTTGATTTTTCTCCTAGCTTCCTGCTGTGGACCTATGTATGTGGGTGCACGTGTATGTCTGTGTAAGGTGAAGGGGATTTGAATCCTTCTTACCCTTTGGTCACCTAGGGCTTTACTGGGAAGCTTTTGAAGTTATCGGCTCTTCTTTTTGTCTCGGCTGCAATCTGGGTCAGGCCCGTTAGATTTATGTTACTGGGTATTGTAGCAAGCCGTTACTTGGCAGCTCTATTTTGTGTTGCTATAGAGCATGTGGTACTAATCAGTGCTAGGAGATTACTTTGGGATGTTTCAATATATATTTTGGGACCTGATTCCAATCACACTTACACTGAATTTTACAATGGGTAAATCAGTTGATTTTGTTGAACTTATTCCTACTACACATCAGGGTAGACGAGGTCAGAATCAGTCCTGCTCAAAGAATTTATCCAAACTTGTCACTTGCTGCTTTCTGGATCTCCTCATGCTTTAATAGTCTGGTGTTATTTCCCAATGCAGATTTAAAACACGATCAGACCTAAGAACTGATAATTTTGTGTGTGTGTGTGTAGAGGGGTTTTTTTGTTTTGTTTTGTTGCTGAACTATTATAATGCACTTTTAAGTTGTCACATACAGGTGACAAGAAATGCAGGTCCAGCCCTTAGTCTGATCTGTTTCATGTGTTCTTGCTCTCCTTTTCTGCCAGAGGAAATTCCATCTCTTGCCTGCCTTCATGTGGTGCTGATAAAGCTCTTCCTGTACAGTAGAATTCCTGTTTTCCTTTAAGCAGCAGCAGGGTATTGGGAATGATCAGGAAAGGGGAGGAGGATAGGAGGAGAATACACTCAACAAAGTAGCAGTAAACTGTAGCATTAAGTTTTCCTCACTTATCCTTTTAAATAGCAGCCCCTCGCCCTGGGAAAGCCAATACTCTTGGAAAGCTAGTGTGAACTTTGTGACTAAAGTAGAGTAGTTGAGGCCTTACTTAGCCAAGTTTTGCAAACTTTGTGTGTCTGTCTTCTGTGTTCCCTTTTGTCATGTTTTATGCATAGTAATGTAGAAAGAATTACATAAAAATCACTATACATGTTATTTTATATAATCACCTGGTGGTTATTCTTGACATTACTTGTAAGCGAACTGTTAGAGTGATACATCTAGAAAGCCTTTTGAAATGTGTCATATCAAGGTGGTGGTGGGGGTTGAGGAAGCATCTTTCCTGGTATATAACGTCTTTCAGAGACAGATCACTTTTTCCCTCACAACTTTGTATTTGCTTGAAGTTTTTCCCCATGTTCAAACGGGTGTGAGAGAGGGTAGGGTGCACATTCTCCTCTACTTCTTGAAATAGTTTTCCTCCCCTCGCCTCCCTAGTCAGCCTGGAAAAACAAAATGTGGGGAGTTTGTTGGCATACCAAGTGTCTTGATCCTCATATGAATGCCTAGTATCATAAACTGTACAAGCTGATGTTCTCTCCCCTACCGCCCTGAACAACTCATTAAGAAACTTAAATTTATTTTTTTCCCCTTGAAATATTCTTCTGTAGTACTATTCAACCAATTAAATCCAGACAACTCTTCTGAAAGTTTAAAAAAGAGAAAAATCTGTCTTTTATTTTACCAAGTAAATCTTTGTACCTCCTCTGCTTGGCTTTGCTGAAGAATTATTACACTGTGCAAACAGTATCAGTGTTCGGTACTTTTCACAAATGCTAATGTGTATACTCTTCTTCCCCCCCTCCTCCCGCTTTTCTTTCTGTTCTTCATTTGCTATTGGAATGGGAACTGTGGAAAAAATTCCTTGGCGCTCTGACACCAGAATCCTTCATCTTGGAGAGACCACGATGATGCAACCTCAACGCACTCGGCAGGCACACCGGGGCCCTCCAGTGGGGGCCACGCTTCCCAGAGCGGGGACAACAGCAGCGAGCAAGGTAAAAGGTCAAACTTTTTTCCCTCCACAAAGTAGGCATGACTAAAATAACTCCAGGTTTTTTTATTATATCAGTACATCTGCCTTAGAGTAAACATGGAGTGGCAGACGTGCAGTATAATCAGCTGTAACTTAGGGAGACGGTATTTCCTTTTCCTAACCCACTTAGCTGCATTTTTTTATTATTTCAAAGCAAAATATCTAATCTTCAAACAAGCTTTGTAATAACAATTGATTGGTTCTGCCAATTCCTTTACAAATTTGGTTATCTACAGTTTATTTTTGTGTGGTGTAAGTAAGTATAATGACAGACGTACTCTCCAGCTGTGATGCAGTTTTTTAAGCTGTGTTATAGACAAAGAATTTAACCTGTAGTTTTAGCTGGGAAAGAGACTCCAATATGAAGTTATGAAGCTGCTGAATTACATAAAGTAGAAGCAAAAGCTGAACTGGGCAGAAAAATGCTTCTTGCAGTGTTTGCATGTACAGACTTGTTTCTGCTTTTGAAAATCAATTCAGAACGGTAAATAGAGATGTATGTCAACTGCAAAACCTCTGCTGGATCTATATATTGAAGCTTTCTTTAAGGGTTTGGGAAGTTTGATTGTTATTTCAGGTTTTTTGTTTTATTTTCTACTGCATTGCACCTTGTGTGTGGTCATCTACATCCACGCTGAGTGAGTGTCAAAGGCTGTCATTCTGGTATCATAGTGTTTTACACTTTTTCATTAGAAGTGTAAGTGACTCCAGAGAAGTTACAAAAGTCAAGCCTCCAGTGCTAAAAGTTGGGTCTACTATCACTCTTGGATCTTGACTCAGAACTAATTTTTTTAAGACCAAAGTTTAAGGTGGGCTTTCTTCTTGGTTTCCCTTTGTTAATACGGTAAGCCTCAGCTAGCCAGCGAAACCTCACCTTCATAAGGTCTTACGTCTCATGCATCTGCAGTGTTTTGATGCTGCATTTCCCCTGCACAGGGGTTACACGTATTCAGCAAAATCACCCAACAAGCCATGTGGGATCCCAAAACTGGAAATAGGAGCAGCTTTCGGGGCTTGAGCTGCCATGATCAGGCTTGTCGTGTGGGCCGTTTCCCACCATGGTATTTGCCACGATTAGGTGGTGGAGCAGATAAGTGATTTCACATCTCTTGTGTGGCCCACTGCTTGGCACAGAGCTAGATCCCCTTGTCTGTGTGCATGATCTGGTGTCATACCTTCTGTGATTCAAGGAACTTGCCAAGTTTTTTTTCTGGTAAAGGGGTTTGGGTTTGTCTCCTATATGTATGAATTGTTTATACATTTGTAATCTTATATTGCTGATAGAAAACAGCCATATCACATGGCGTGATCCATTTCCAACATGAGTCATGGTGGATTCTTCTCTGTGTGGTTGGATCAGAGCTGTACAAGACCCAGTGTGAACTATTACAGCTTCAGCAGCTAATGAAAGAGAGAGCTTGACTGCTAAGCAGCAAATTGGTGTTATGTCTATTAGCTGGCCATAAGCTTAAGTGGTGATAGAATGTTTACCTTGTATATTGTGGGTACAATGCTTGGTGTAACAGATGATCATTTGCATACTTAAAAATGATTCCTCCAAGTCATCTGTCACAGTATGTTCATTTCACGCCTAGGTAAGAAATTTCCTCACACCTGTATCTCCATTCTGCCTGAGCAACCCCTTAGAAATTGGAAGTTTCTTCACTGAGTCATGCTTGACATAAAGGAATCCCTTGTGTTGACACCCAGGGATCTTGCATTTTACTAGTTTCGGATCCCTTGTCACGTAACTAGGAGTGCTCAAGAAATATTGCGAAGCGTGAGAAAAAGTAGTTGATAACTACACCAACTTCACACTGGAGACTGAGGTTTCTGGTAATAGATGCGATTTAAACAAACGTGTTACACTCATTTCTGCAGAAGGGGAACAACCACTGAAGGACCAGATCAGTCACTAGTGCTGCCCAGTCTAGCAGGGTGGAACATCGCTAGTGTGCTTCCCTTTGTGCTCAGTTGGGCCTTTTAAAGGGAAGCAGTCGTCCAGTGGCAAATCAGCATTCCACTCAGCTGCTGGCAGCTGAAAGATGTATGATCCTACAGCACCGGCAAAATTCCCATTGGAGATGGCTTTGGATTGCTCTCCTTCTCTCAACCCTGGGAAAGACTAAAGAGAGGGAGGCTTGTATTGAATTTTCCGTATGTTTCCTTGAGAGGGATGGGGTTTACTTTATAACTCATGAACTGGCAGTGAGTCAGTCCCAGGCAACGCCAAGATGGATAGATGCCCTCTTGAGCTATTCTGGTGTAGTTACTTATTTGGGTTAATTCTGTTTCCCAGCAGTTTTGTCAAGACCTTCCACAAATACTGCTTCAAGTATTCTGCTTTCCCCAAAGGATTTCTTGGGAATGGGAGCTCATTAGAGTGTCTTGGGTTACATTAGCAACGTATGGTCTCTTCCACTGATGTCTGGTGGCAGCAGAGATTGATTCAAACTAGAGTCAGTCTCTTCCAGCTCTTGGGAGCACTCTTTCTAGGGGTCTTTGCTTTTGCTTAAAGTCTGCAATGTGCAGCTTGTGATGTTTTTATTTTTATTTTTATTTTTAGTGGGGAAGAGGGTAGGGAAGAGGTGGAAAAGAGTTGGATGAGTGATGACACTATCTTTGCAGAATTTCTTTGTGTGAGGTAGATCTATTTATTACACAAAGAATCCATACATAATTCTTAAAGTTGGAACCACATTAAAAAAGCTGTAGGCATTGTCTCTTTGTGGAGGACAGTCTCTCCACAACAGTGTATGACTGCCCTTTTGGCATGGAAGGGGTTAATCTAGTCAATGTTTTGTATTATTAGAAACACGCTGGCATTGAAAGAGTTAAGGAAAGGGCCTTCAGGCAGTAAATGTTGAAAGATTATCCTAATTTTATTAGTGGTGAGTGTCTATGTTGTTCTTAACATGTCACCTCACTTGTTTAACAGAAAACTAAGCTGTACAACGTATTGATCATCCAACAAACCAACATACTAGTGACCTGTAATCTACCAAGCATTTATTGACTTTATCCCAGTTTGGGTCCACAAATGTGGATCAATGCAGTGTAATACTGTTTTAGAGATTAGTAATTGTGTAGCAGGTCTGATCAACTTTCCCCTCGCCCTGGAAAGAGAAAGAGTTAAATATATCCAATAATAAAAATAAACTGCTCTAAACATCTTACAAAGGAGAAAAAGAAGAAGCTGATTTAATGGTCTAATGAGGCCATCTTCCAGAGACTTGTTTTGTGTAGGGCTTGCTTTGACCTTTCGCTTTGCTCAGGAGCCCAACGCTTCATTTTTCACATTCTTGCAATTACGTTAACGCTTCAAGCATTTCTGACTCCAAGTCAGCTAGCAACACCAGGCATAACTCAACACTGTGAGTTTTTCTCCTCTCTGTAGATTCATTAACAGGTCACAGGGGTCCCAACTGAAATTTAAAACTGACTGGTTCTGTTGGGTTAGCTGAGTTACAGCAAGGGAGATGGCAGGAAAACGGGCTGAGAGAAGGGGAGGGGAGAGAAAAGACCCTGGGGTTTTTGCCAGAGAATATATGTGTAAAAACCCTAAGTGGAAGATTAAAAGGTGTGTGTAGCTTTATCATCCACCCTTTTCTTTGGAGGGGAAAAAACACATCTGAAAGTCTTCTGGGGTATTGTGTTTTCCTTATTCCTTTCTTCACAAAGTGAAAATGGCCACTGCCTTTACGTACAAGGCTAAATGACTTCTAGAATTCAGCATCAGTTTGTACCACAGTGATGGATATTGCGCTCCCAGACTTTAATTCCTATTTAATCTCTTTATGGGATATTTCGAATAATGAATATGGCAGATTGTGCATGAGAAGTGGGAGATAAATCTTTTTAAGGTTCAAAAACATGTGGTCTGCAGGAAAGCACCAGGGAATAGTTTCATTTTCATATTTTATGATACCAGGATTGTATACTTGATTTGTCATATTCTTAGTTCAGTCACTCAAAGGGCCAGATCCAGCCAGGTCAGATGGAGGACGTGTTTCTTCAGGAGCATTCAGGAAGTTTAGTATCCCTTTAGGATTAGATATGAGGTGAAAAACGTGACCATAAGCGACAAGCCAGAGAAAAGAATCTTCTAGGTTATACAGCAGTAAAAATACAAATGGACATGATATCCACTTTGCTTTACCCATATGAGTAGCATATAGGTATGTAGTTTTGGGGTGTTTGTTTTGTTTTGTTTGGTGGGTTTTTTTGATGGAACTACTTGTGCTGAATGATGATCTACCCCTTTATAAATAACATTTAAGGCTACTCTCTAGGGCAATATCTTACAGCAGTTTTGAAACACTTCTGTGACAGCTTGAAGTTTGTCCCACAGATTTGCCCACAATAGCTTTCTGTGGCAAAGACTGATCATCTGGTTCAGGGCAAAGTCAATTAAGATATTAGCTGAAATTACGTGTTCATCCCAGGTTACATCTCTAGATTGATGTATGCTGGAAAAACTAGGTAGTCTTCTTTTATTATTGCTTATATTCCATCTTATAATAACGATGCTATACAAATCAAATTTGTTTACAGAACTAGCTGATAATGCCCAAAGGCATGTCCTAGTGTTGAAACTCTACTGAAACATAAAGCTTTGAACCAAACTCCAGTAGCTGGAAAAAGGAGAGGGTTATGTTGTTATTAATAAAAATTAACACATTTATGCAAAGTCTTTTGAAGTTCAATATCCAAAAGCTAATGCTTCAACTTCTTTTTCCTGGTTCTGTAGGTATAGGTAAGCCTGCTGAGGCTAGTTTGCATATTTGTCACAAGGATTCAGAACATATTTTTATTCCTTTGTTTTTTTACTTATAAAGCAAGATATAGACCATGGTTTTATTGGAAGAGAGCTGTCTTTTGTAAGAAAGGAAATTCCTAATAGAAAGGCTCAAACACCCAGACTGTGAAAAATCAAACTTGCTAATAAATAATGCTTCACTG